GTCCTGGGATCGAGTCCCACATCGGGCTCCTTGCTCCTTGGGAGTCTGCTTCTCCCTCTGCCTCTCTCTCTCTCTGTCTCTCATGAATAAATAAATAAAATCTTTAAAAAAAAAAAAAGAACTTTGTGGTATGCATATTATATATCCTCACCAAAATGTATATTCCCCTTCTCTCAATCCCAAAACTAACTTTTTAATTTATGTTAATTTGTAATACTATATTTAGCTTTATAAGTTACCACAAGGTATTTTGGGAACATATGTAACTATAAAATAATCTTTTACATGTACATATTTAAAACTTACTATAAATTTGTATAGCAATAAAACTAGCACCATTTCAAAGGATATATTCAACACTAAAAGGCAAGGGGAAAAGTCACTTCCATTTTTTAAGTGGAAAAAGCATTTAAATTCTAAGATATACCACACACAGCTCAAGTATCAAGAATCTCCACTTTATGTTACAGAAGATATTTAACAGCAATTCACGTACCGTTAAGACAGAGGATGACGGATAACGGAGATCTCCACTTACAAAGAGACCCAGAGAGGTGAGGATAACTAAAAAGTGATTTGTTAAAACCATATCCACCACTGAAAGCTCTGTGTGTTCTAAGGGAAGAAATCATACCAGGGGTTAAAAAGTAAGGAAAAGGTGAGATCCCCAGCAAAGCAAAGACATTTCATCAATACTGATCAAGTGCTGATATACACGGGATACTGAAGAAGGCACAGTTAGAGGAATTACCTTCTCCAACTTGGGAATAGATTGTATCTGTCAGGTTATACCACATGGTATCATTGTAATCCCAAAATCCAGAAAAGCTGAGGCCTATGTAAATACCTAACATGAGAAAAAAGGAAGGTTAAGTCTAGATAACTTTACAAAGCGAGTAACCCACTCCTATGTTGCTCAGTCTTCTGGGGCCAGACCGCTCATCTGCCCCACCTCAACTCCCCTCCCCTCAGATGGGATCTCACTTCCCAAGCAATGGAAAGATCAAGTGACTCCAGGTTAACGTAGGAGTTTAGCCAACCAACTGATTTAAATTTTAAGGATTTTGTTTTATATCGAAGGGGATCCGAATATGCCACCCCAAAATATGCCACTCTGGCTTAAGGATTACTTTGAGCTGAAGGCAATTGAGAATCAACAGACTCAGGAAGAGTTCTCTGCCCTCTCCTTACCTACCTAAAAGCAGAGCATAATTTTCCCTTTGGGAAACGTGCCTCCCCACCCCTGTACCAGGAAGAAAAGAGCACCAGAGATGGGAGGGGAGTCAGCACTGAGACAAGTTTGCATAAACAGACTTTACTAGAATAGCTCTTCTCTTTCATTAGTCCCCGCACATATTTCCTAGTCACTTCCCCATAATTTATCATCCCGTGAAGCCCAAACTTATTTCTTTTCTTAAATGGTATCTATGCCCCCAAGTTTAACCCAAGTTTCACTTCTATTCAGTTAACTCCTGTGAATGTAAATATTAATAAAAATTGTATGCCTTTTTTCTTGCTAATCGGCCTTTGTTAATTCACAGACCTCATTCACTGAACATAAGAGAGTAGAGGAAGAGTTTTTTTCTTTTCTGACGGTATTTTTGTAAGCATAAATACATTCCTATTTCAGAAATACAATCTTAGTCAATACTTTAAAAACTTCAAGGAAAAAATTAAAATTCCAAGAGGAAGAACCTATGTTTGATTTACTTTAATATTTGTGATTTAAAAAACAGAAAAAAATATTTGCTAACGCCTCTTGAGAGCCTAGTAAAAGAAAAAGATGGAACACACTGCATATACCTTGATCTCGCCTTTCTTTGGCCATGGCTAGGAATGTTGAGAATCTTTCATTTTAAATACAGAATATTAACCTGAAGTCATAGGCATAAGTATTGAGGGCAGTGGGGGAACCTACAAACGGTTGATAATCTAATGCATATACTCTGTTTCAAAAAGATGAATGTAGAGGGCGCCTGGGTGGCTCAGTTGGTTAAGCGACTGCCTTCGGCTCAGGTCATGATCCTGGAG